GGAGGGAGGGAGGGAGGGAGGGAGGGGGAGGCACCCCTGCTCAGGACATGTGCTGCCCCTCCTCCCTCAACGAGCCGAGGAGCAGGACAGCAGCAAGCATATGCGGTGAACTGGGCGTATGTGTGTGTCACACACTTGTAGCGGTGTAAGTTGGAGCGCACATAGATATATACGCGCGAGCAAATAGCGACTCCCAGGGAAGAATTTAAATCCCCATGGGGAGTATAGACCCATTGCAATTATTTTAAGAGAGTCCCCTAGGGTCCATTCCCCATATATTCTGGCAGAGCGGCAATCAAAAGGCGCTCGAGACAATGCCGTGCAAGTCATCAGCAGTGGGTGTGTCACTCGGTGTTTATGAGGCGGACAAAGACGGCCGGAAGCCAACGCCTACAGAATATAGGGATGTGAGTTCCCACACGCTTGCTCACTCGCAGGTAGGTAGCGCGATACAGTGGCACGGTTTTACTTCCACGAGTCCGGATGAATGTTCAGCTTCTAGACGTGTACGGCGTTCGGAAGCTTGGCTTGGGATGTGCCGGCAAGGACGAGGTCGCCTCACCAAGGTCACTGCGCCGCTCCCCTGTCCCTGTCCCTGTCGCCCGCCCGACGGGGTCGCGGCCGGACCGACCGAGCTGGCAGTCGGGGTAGCGGCAGCGGCCCCAGGCCAGCGCCAGCAGATCGGATCCGGCCACTGGCCCAAAGAGCACTGGGCCGACGGGTTTCCCAAACCATCCGAGCCGGCCACCGGCCACGAACAGTCAGCAGTCCAGCCTGTGCCGCCGCCGTAGAGTGGAACCTCAGCTTGCTGCCGGCTGCCGCCAGGCCGGGAACTGGAGAGCGTCCTCAGGATCACCCGGGCGACACAGAGAGCACGGGGCACAGGCGGAATACAAGACAGCACCGCGGACAGCCACCGCGGACAGCACGCAGCCAAGGCGGAGAGGACACGAAGCAGCTTGGAGAGCAGAAAGTGGTATGTAAAGTCCATGATAGGGACATGAATTTCAAAACAAACAAAAAAGTTGTGTTGCGAAGCGAATGTGGCTAGTTTGCGTGACAATTCAAGTACTGCAGGGAAAATTACACATGGATGGAAAGCGTGTTGTCAGACCACCGCAGTCACTGAAAGAAAATTGAGGATATTCAAACCCGCTCCGACACTTTGTGCTTTTCTTACCGAAGTCAATGTAAATAAGTAGCATTCCAGCGGGTATACTCTGCACTCTGTGAACCATTTCCGGTCCGATTCATTACAAGACGTGTTTCACAAAATGTAAACACACAAAAAAGAGGGAATTTGAAAATAACGCTTTCTTTTACAGACATACTTGACGTTCATCACGACGACCACCACGATGTGCGCGGTCAGAGAGCTGCTGCCAATCAAAAGCTCGCCATCCATTTGAGAACCCAACACGAGAGACGAGCCTTTCGAGTGCAATGTGCGCGGCAAGAAAGTCGCTACGAATGCATCTCAAAATATAACCAGGAAAGAAACCTTTTGACAGCATAATGAGTGATGAGAAGTTTTCGCAAAACGGTGATCTGCAAGAGTATGAGCGCATTCACACAGGAGAAAAGCCCTATGAATGTAACGTGTGCCACAAGAAATTTCCTCGGAGAGGTGCCCTGGTCATCCACAACCGGACCCACACTGGAGAGAAGCCTTACGGGTGCGACGTGTGCGACTACAGGTGCACCACGAGTGGAAGTCTCCAGGTACACCTCCGAACCCACACCGAGGAGAAGCCCTTCAGGTGCGACGTG